ATAAGAAAGGAATGGGAAGGGTGAAATTGGAAAAAATTGAAAGAAGATTGCATGAGAAATTGAACTGGCAGTTTTTTCGGTTCCATCGGTTTGATCGGTTTTCATCGGTTTTTATTGGTTTTGATCGGTTTTGACATCAAACGGTTTTCTTATGTAAACCAAACCATTTTTATCATCGGATATCGGTTTGATTGGTTCAACTGACCGATCCGGTCCGATTTTAAAAACCTTGCATGGTAGTATAAACAGTTCAGGTAACTGGTACTTGGTAGCAAGGTTTTTAAAATCGAACCGATCATTGAACCGTTTTCAGGTTCGGTTGATTTAACCGATTCAACCGGTTGAACCGATGAACCGATCGATCCAAACAGCAAAGGAGATTTGACGAGATGAGCAGGTTGCAGCGGGGGTTTTCTAATTTGGTGTTTAATAATTTTGTAATTTTGTTAAAATTAAAGGTTAAAATGGGTATAAGAAAGGAATGGGGAGGGTGAAATTGGAAAAAATTGAAAGAAGATTGCATAAGAAATTGAACCCGTGGTTTTTTCGGTTCCACCGGTTTGATCGGTTTTGACATCAAACGGTTTTCTTATGTAAACCGAACCATTTTTATCACCAGATATCGATCCGATCGGTTCAACCGGTTGATCCAGTCCGGTTTTAAAAACCTTGCCTGGTAGTATAAACAGTTTGGGTGTATTCTTTAAAACGTTTGAACTGTCAAACCATTTAAAATTGACAAGAACTATTGGAACCATTCAAACCAAAAAATCGTTTGACTAAATGGTTCAATGCTTTAATTACCATTGGAACCGTTCAAACCAAAAAAATTGTTTGACTGAATGGTTTAATGCTTTAATTACCATTGGAACTAGACCTGACAAATAGGCAGGTTGGGTCGGGTCAACTCGGGTGACGGGTTAGGCGGGTTGGGTTATAAACGGGTTGCGGGTTGGAAACATCCAACCCTAACCCGACCCTAACGGGTTACGGGTTAACCCGCGGGTTAACCTTATTTCATTCTTTATAATTATTTTTTGTTAATTTTATTATACCCAAATAAAATTATATATATCTAAATATAATTAAAATATTGTGATTCATTAACACTAAATATTTTATAATTTCAATTACAAGCATTTAAATTAAG